AGATTAGTATAACATTTAGTTAGCATAATGTTACAAACAGTATGACAATAATTATTATATACCTTATTATGTGGCCAGAGTACAGATTTTAGTTACAAGTAATAAGCGAGCTATTATACAAATGATCGTTGCAGATTCACTTGACTGACTGTATATAATACTTAAAATACTCGCACCACTTATCGGACAAAACTTGGTCAATAAGTCTGATATATTATTTACTATTTGGGCTATAATGTGCTTGATACTCGCAAATGGTTTCAGCAATAACATATTATTCTCAATATTTAATCGAGAATTTGTGCAAATTAATAATCTGCAAGAATTGGTTGATTCAAAAATGAGCGTGGCCATCCCAATCGATTCATGGATAGTGGGCACTTTAAACCAAAGTGAACTAATTGATCCATATATTAAAATATTGTCCAATAATAACCGGATAATTGTTGGTGATGCTAATATTGATGAGGTAGGTTACTACATTTTTAATTACAATTATAATTTGGAAAATAATTGCTTATTTCATTAGGTTATCAAAATAAATATATTGGACAGAAAAATGGCATTTATTAGGGATGGCTATAATGCACGTAAAGTACAAGCGGAGAATCTTGTTCATAATTTTCAAATATCCAAGGAACAATATTATCCAATTTATATAACTGAACCTGTGCGAAAGTCAAATGAGAATGACACAAATATAATTTATCTAATGCAAATGTATGTATAGTATGAATTTTAACTTCATAAAATGTATTTTTAATATACTTAATTTTTAAAAATATATTAAAATTTTTAGATTAAAGAAACTAGCAGAGTCTGGTATTAACTATTATTGTGAAAATAATTATAATACCTATATTACTTTATTTGGATATAAAAAATTAAGTCAGCATCTATTAATGAATGACAAATTAGCACAAAATTATTTGAAATTACACATTCATGAACAACTTATTGAATTGCAATTTATCAAGGACTTATTTATAACCCTAGGGTTCAGTACCTTTATTTCATTTGTGGTGCTCATATTGGAAATAATTTATTTTATGTATAATTTATGGAAATAAGTGTGCAAGATTAGTATAACATTTAGTTAGCATAATGTTACAAACAGTATGACAATAATTATTATATACCTTATTATGTGGCCAAAGTGGGCTTGGGTTCTAGTAAACTCGGTATCTCCCGGTGCCGGAGCACCACTCGCTGAAAGCAATTACAGGTTATAATAATACAGTAAACTAAAAAATTCTCAAATCATACCTAGTACAAATAAGCATACAATAAAACTAATTATGTATTTCATTGTGATTTACTTTGGTAAATGCAGAAAATTAAATAATATAATGCTAGTTAGTTATAAAATATATTGAGTGAATTTCACAAGTTACTAATGTTTTTTAATAACTCATTTCTGTATTTATATTTTTTTCATTGTTTGTTATCAATTAATCAGTTAATCAGTGAACCTTTTACAGTGAAATGCCTCGAATGTGTTAATTGTTGTAAATTTTTACAAATTGCATAATTCAGTAAATAATCATGGTACATATTTGCGTTTTTCATTGAAATTAATTTCCATGAATTATTATCTTTAATAATATATCTGATTAAAATAAGTAATTTAAGTAATAAGAAACTAATAATAAATAAGACGGGTACTTTACCCACAAACATTTAAAGCCAGATTATCACCAATTGTTGTATTTTCTCATTGAATTAAAAAATTTTATTTTTTATAAAATTTTAGTAATTGTATCATTATAATTAATTCAAATCATTTTGCTATAATAAATTCTTCCATATTGAATGCAATTAAGTTTTTCTTGTAAACATAACCATTACTTTCATTGCAAAAATACAAAACTGTTTTACGCAAGCAATTAACTTCGGACTCATTTGGTAATACCGGTGCGCTTGCAGTACCCACTATCGATGATACCGAGCACAGCACCGGCAGGTTTACATCGATACATCGAGTATCCTTCGGGCAACGAATGGTGGAATTAACTAAGAAATAAATTTTCAAACTTTTCAAAGTTTCCATTAAAACTAAATTCCGAGAATTATTATTTTAATAATGATATAAATAATTTCGTAAAACCTTTTTTCTTATTCTGAAAATTAAATGTACCAGTGTGTAAATGTACCATATCTATTAATTAACAAATATACTGAAAATCTATAGATTAAATAAACAATGATAATATTTTATATTTCACTGATTCTACAACTTATGAAAAGTTTACAATTTTCTAAATCTTGTTCTCATGTGATTTAACAATTAACATATTTAATATGATTTCAAAGACAAATAAATAGTTAATAGGAAATCAAGTTCAGTTGAATTAATGCAAATATTGATAATTTATATCAATTTCATATACTTTTATTATTAAATCAATACAATTTTTAGATAAATACTTTTCAAGGGAATTTTTATTAATTTCTAAAAATTTTATCATTTATTAATAAGTTAATCTGTTATCAGTGCAATATCAAATATTTACTTAGTTTACTTAATCAATAGATTTTTTTATAATTGTTAATAAATACATTTATACACTGGTACATTTAATTTTTAGAATAAGAAAACATTTTTAAAAATTATTTTATCACTACATTATTATAATAATAATAATTCTTGGAAATTAATTTCAATAATAACTAGAAAACAAGTAATTATCTAATAATTTTGAACAAGTAAACTAATCAAAATTATATAGTTTGTTAAACAAAAAAAACGCAAATATGTCCTTTTATTATTTATGTAATTATGCAATTAGTAAACATCTAGAACAATTTACACACACTCGAGGCATTTCACTGGAAAGGGTTCATTGATTTACTGATAGGACATTCAAATTGTATATAAAATGAGATCCAATCAACTTAATAGTTATTATTATAAGTTCATTAGTAACTTGTTGAATTCACTCAATATATTTTATTATAACTTACTTGCATTATATTATTTAAGTTTATACTTTTACCAAAGTAAATCACAATGAAATACATAAATAGCTTCATTGTGTGCTCATTTGTACTAGGTATGATTTGAGAATCTGTTAATTTACTGTACTATAACCTGTAATTGCTTTCAGCGAGTGGTGCTCCGGCACCGGGAGATACCGAGTTTGCTAGACCCAAAGTCAACCACCCTGGCCACATAACTGGCCACAAAACGTATTATAAGTTGAGCGGTGGTGAGCCCTTATTCGCACCGTTCGGTCCTTTACTTCAGGGCGAGAATGTGCGGCCGAATGCAGTGTTGCGGACAATGTCTGCCGAAAACACCACTCATTTGAGCGCTTTATTCAAAGTAAGACTCGCTTTGAGTTTGAATTGATTTTTGAATGAAATTGTTTTCTAGAAATCATTGGAAAACAAACAGAGTTTGAATGACATGTTCAACGAGTTTAAGGCAAAGTTCCGCAAGACTTATGCGGATGAGTCGGTGGACGGGGAAAGGGAGCAGATATTCAGAAGGAATATGTGGCGAGTGTTTGAGCACAACGTGGAGGCCATGAACGGCAAGTCCTCATACACTCAACACATCAACCGATTCGCGGACATGACTGAGGAGGAGATCATCGATCAGTTCGGCTTTCGGTTGACACCGGAGGCGAGGAATCGCATGAATAGGACAGTCAGTGGTGGACACGAGAAACGGTGGAAAGGGATGAAAGGAAAGGACGGTAGAGATGGGAAGCCAATCAGGGATGAGAACGACGACAGTTGGGTATATGACTGGCGATCGGTGGAAGTGGTCGGACCCGTCCAGGATCAGGTCAGTAGTATTTGCAGCAATATTTTGTAGACCTTACATAAAATACTCCATTTATTTGTGGATTTCTCAAAATAGTCTACTTTTGTAAGAAAAAGTAGTTTTTGTTATAAATTAATAAAAA